GGAAGGCAGTCCAATTTTACAGTAAGGGAAGAAGCGATCTCTTTATTAATGGTCTATCAAGAGAAGGAACAAGTGACGGAGGAAATTCAGCAGAATATATGGTACTTAGACACTGATTGCAACAGTTATACGTGCGAAAACAAGTCAGCTTTCTCCACATTAAATGAGTCATATCGAGATTTTATGAAGTTTAGGAATGACTCAAAAGTTTCAGTCATGGAAAAGTAAAGGTAAGCATTCGAACTAAAAGGGATATTTCTCAAATAATTTCTTATGTCCTTTATGTTCCTGAGTTGAAGTCAAATCTGTTGAGACTTGGTCAATTGCGAGAGAAGAGGTGTGAAATTGTCATTACAAATGGAATTTGTCGGATTCAAAATGACAATTTAGGCTTAATTGCTCAAGTTAAAATGACTGCAAACAAAATGTTTCCTCTCAATCTCAATAATATACAAAAATTATGCTTCTTAGAAAAACAAGGAGATGATGCTTGACGGTGGCATTTTCATTCTGAGCATCTTAACTTCGTTGGATTAAAGACCTTGCAACAGAAGAATATGATGATTGGTCTTCCTCTAATTTCAGCTCAATCTGAAATTGGCGAGAGTGTGTTGTTAGCAAGCAGTCTCGCAACTCTTTTCCACAAAGGGGTACATGGAGAGAAAAGAAGGAACGAGAACTTGTCTTTTTTGATATTGTGGACCGATAACACCATCTTCTAATGGAGGTAATAGCTATATAATTACCTTATTGATAATTTTACTCGAAAAAATTGGGTATACTTTTTGCAGGTGAAATCTGAAGCTTTTAAAAGCTTCAAAGTGCTTGTTGAAAAAGAGATCAGTAGCTTAATAAAAGCTCTGTGTTCAGATCGTGGGGAAGAATATAACTCACATGAATTTGTAAATTTTTGTGACCTTCATGGTATCAAAAGGCAACTTAGAACAGTCTACTCGCCCAAGCAAAATGAAGTATGTGAGAGGAAAAATCGCACTATCATGAACATGGTGCGGAGTATTTTGACCAGCAACGGTGGTTCAAGAAGCTTTTGGCCTGAACCAGTCAATTGGACTATTCATATCTCGAATAGATGCCCCACATTTACAGTTAAAAATATGACTCTGGAGGAAGCATGGAGCGGATAACAACCAACCGTAGATCACTTCAGAATCTTTGGGTGCATTGCATATGCCCATATTCCAGATCAAAAGGAAAAAAAGTTTGACGATAAGGGAGAGAAATGTATTTTTTCGGTGTTGGTGATGATCAATCAAAATATTAGTTAGCCGAGATGTCGTCTTTGATGAAAATCATTTTTGGTCGTGGAACAAAAATGTCATGGGAGAACAAATTCCAGGATGCCTTGATGGAGAAAATGGTGAAGAAGCAATTCAGCCTTAACAACAAGTTCTAGCACTAGTAGTCCTTGAAAATGCTCAAGATAGCAATCCTAGAAGTTTTAAAACTTCACCTGTTATGAATGAGCAGAGAGAAACTGTAGCCGATTCATGTGCCCCTCATGCTCGAAGAAGGCCAACATGAATGACAGATTACAAGGTAAAAAGAATTGATCAATCTGAAGATCTTTTCACTCATTTTGCTCTATTTTCAGATTGTGATCCAACAACTTTTGAAAGTACTGTAAAAAAAGAAAAATGACAAAAGGCAATGGATGATGAAATTGCAGCCATAAAAAATGACTCATGTGAGATTGTTGATCTACCAGAAGGACACAAAATGAGTAGAGTAAAATAGGTCTATAAAACTAAACTGAAGGAGAATGAGGAGATCGACAAATACAAGGCACGGTTGGTGGTGAAAGGCTACAAGCAAGAGTTTGGAGTGAATTACAGAGAAGTGTTTTCTCCTGTTGTCAGACTTGATATGATTAGATTCGTGATTGCATTGACTAAAATTCATGGCCTATCCATCAATTGGATGTGAAGTCCGCTTTTCTACATGGAGACGTACAAGAACATGTATTTACGGAACAATATCCTGGTTATGTTAAGATTAATGAAGAGTATAAAGTTTGTAGACTAAAGAAAGCTCTTTACGAATTAAAACAAGCACCTAGAGTTTGGTATAGTCATATATATGCTTATTTTCAAAAGAAGATTTTCGGAAATGTGTGTATGAGGATACTCTGTATACAAAGTGTGAAGATGGAGGGAAAATGTCGATTGTGTGCTTATATGTAGATAATTTGATTTATACAGGAAATAATCGAGTCATGTTTGAAAAGTTTAAAGGTCTATGATGCTTGAGTTTGATATGACTGATCTTGAAAAGTGTTACTTTCTTGGCATAGAAATAGTGAAATCAGTTGATGGAATATTTATTTCTCAAAAGAAGCATGTGCGAGAAATTTTGGACAGTTTTCAAATGAGCAATTGTAATCCTGTGACTTCACCATCAGAAGTTGGCTTGAATCTTATAAAGGATGTTGGAGGAAAAAGGATCGATGAAACCTTTTTAAAACAAATTGTGAAAAGTCTGATGTATTTGACAACAACAAGGCCAGATATCACACACAACGTAGGTCTCATTAGCAGATTCATGGAGAATCCAAAAAAAAAATCTTGTTGGCTATAAAAAGAAGTTTTTGATACTTAAAAGGTACTGTAGACTTTGGATTATTCTACAGAAATGGAGAAAAGACAGAGTTCATTAGGTTTTATGATAGTGATTATGCTAGAGACTTGGATGATAGGAAGAATACTTCAGGCTATGCGTTCATGCTGAGTTCAGGTGCAGTCTCATGGCCATCAAAGAAGCAGCCAATCGTCACTTTGTCAACAACTGAAGCTGAATTTCTTGCAGCTACAACATGTGTCTCGCAAGACATTTGGCAAAGAAATATTCTTATTGAGCTAAATTTCAAACACCATAAAGCAACAATAATTTATTGTGACAACATTCAGCTATAAAGTTGTCCAAAAATCTAGTTTTACACGGGAGAAGCAAGCATATTGATGTAAGGTTTCATTTCTTAAGAAATCTTACTGAAGATGGAGTGATTGATCTTATGTATTGCATAAGTGAAGACCAGCAGGTCGCTGACATATTTACTAAATCCTTCAAATATGCACAGTTTGTGAAGCTTAGGGAATCACTTGGAGTTTGTACTTTTATGGATGCATCTTCAGGAAATTAAACTGAGAGTCTTTCACTTTAAGGGAGGGAATGTCAAGAATTTTATTTAACTGTTAATTCTTTGTTACAGTTGTTAGTTGAGACATTTACTTTCTACATGTTTCTCACGTCTTTAGCAGGTCCTAACTTTTAGGTTTCCGGTTATTGTTTGTGGTTAAGTTATTTCCTTTTCTTTAGGTGTCCTAGAAGGTATTTTGTTGTTTGGTTATCTATTTAAGAGTCCTACTGTAAGTTGGTTTAAAGCTCTCCAGCAATTAAAAGTTTTCTTTTCCTTCAATATATTTCTCTGTTCTGCTCGTTACTTTCTTTAACACAAATTTCAATTAAAGTGATTAGTTGTATTTTAATTTGTGTTAAGATATCACAACTGTGAAAGAAAAAAGGACTCCTATGTGATGATGAAAAAGGGAGTACAAGAATAACTTCTTATTATCAAAAATTCTAAAAGACACCTAAAAGAAATGAAAGAAATTAAAACGATAAAGGTGTGGGGAACACCACACTCCCCACACCTTACCCAGAAGAAACTTTTCTTTGGTAAAGTGTTGAGGGGGGAGGGGGGGGGGACCTTACAAAATTGTTTAGGCTCCCACGCCTTCTATTTCAATTCTTGTCTAGAAAAAAGTAGAAACAAATAATTTAGTATATAGGTCTAGGTGGCTTGGAAAGTAGCTTATGAAACTTGTACATTGAATCTCTTGGGATTGCTATCCTCTTCTAAGGAAATGAAAAATAATGCAAACTATTGTTTTTAATTAGTGTTGAATAAGTCTTATTTTTTTCATGGACTAATAATAATAATAATAATAGGGATGACGGTTACTTTTCTACTTAATCAATCTGAGTGTAGATCTATTTCAACTTGGTGTTAGTCTGTTTCAACTTGATTGAAGTTTGAGGATGACGGTTACTCTTCTACTTACTCCGACCTCAAGTGGTAGTTGTGTCTATTTTTTTTTATGTTGTTTTATCTTTCTTCTTTCTATACTTTGTTAGAAGCTCTTGCACCTATTTAAACTAGATTTTTAGAAATTTTGTTAAAAAAATTGTAAAGATAAATGAATTTTCTTACTTTTGTTTGTGTTAAAATAATTTCTATACAATTGAGAATGAGTAGCAAGTATTTTGTGTATCTAGTCAAAATAAAGTAGGTGCATGCACGATCCTATAAAGAAATTTAATCAACTTTAAATAAAATGGATAGTATAGTATAGAATAGAATAATAAGTGTGTTTAATGCGTAAAAACAGAACCCTGAAAAGTAACTAAATGGAAGTATCAATCTTGTGACATTTTAGGCTTTTGCTGTCTATCTACAAATTTCTTCCAGACTCCTTTTTGAAATCGTAGGGACTAGTATATCATAAATACGAAATATCAAGAGGAATTCATATTTATAATTTGAGACCGTCTAGAAGAGGTTGAGTTGAATGTCTATTACAATCCGCAGTTGAAAAGCTCCCAAGGTCAAATTTTGAAATTTAACTTGCCACACACAAATCATTTTAAGTGAATAATATAACAAAAGAATTGAAACATCGAAAAAAGCTCATATCTAATATTTGAAATTGTTTTAAGAGTTGAGCTTATCGGGATTGAAAAAAAAATCAACTCATGAGGAAGATGAACTGTTGCAATGTATAAAATTGTATAACTGTGTGGTAAATTACTAAAACATATTATGCATCATATATACACAATTATATTATATAGCTATTTATACCATATGAATACATTAGGCATGAACTTTTTTTCACCTGTGTAGTTGAGTAAGAAGCCCAAAGCAAAAAGGAGCTAACGTTTACCTACAACAACATAATTGGCTAGACTAGAAAAACAAATACAATATTAATATAGTGAATACATAGGCAAAGCCAATAATATCTGTGAGAGAAGGATGCCTACAATCAATCATTAATATTTCCTATTGGGATCAACCCAATTAATTTTACAACTTAACAGAACCAATAAGCCACCACTAAAACAAGTGTAACTTGAGAACATGACATTTGATCACCTAAGCACTATCAGACTAATTTAATCTGCCAGGAATCAAGCACACTTACTGAACAATTCAACAAGAGGTAAATTTTAAAGCTTCCAACACCGCCGCCCTAAGAAAATGGATGTTCTAAGCTTAATAGTTGCTTGTTACCTTATCTTACAAGAGCCGCTAAAGCGAAGAACTTCACTAGGCACAATGCTCCACGCCTCCACCACACATATGTATGCCAACCACTGAGATTTTTCTGCCTGATTTTCCACACAATATGGCTCCAAACTTCTTCTAGGAGCACTGTGATCAGTCATCAAAAGTCGAGTATCATTCCCCTTATGTACAAAGGAAGAATATCCAGAATTAGCTAGCTAGCCTTTCCTTGGGTGCTCATCAATGTCCATGAATTCACCAGTAACCCTGCAAAATAGAGAGAGGCAAGTATCACCATCTAACGCTTCAGCAAGTTGTTATTCTGAATAGATTTTTCTTTTATGGGTAGCTGAATTTCTAGGGCTAAGTCAAAAAATATCAAAGCAATGTTTCTTTTTATTTGAAAAAAAGGGTGTTAATGTACACCAATTCCCGCACTCTTAGAAACATCCTTATTTTGTAGTTAAAAAAAAAAAAAGGAAAAACAAAAACTCCTCAAAAGTAAATTAGCTATGAGATTAAAAATACGGAAAAGGGTCAAAATTGCCCCTGAACTATGCGAAATAGACCACTTATACCCTCTATTACATTTTGGGATCAAAAATACCCCCGCCGTTATCCCAGGAGACCATAAATACCCTCAAGAGTTAACACCCTAAATTTTTAGTGACGTGGCAAGCCACATGGGACTAATCCCTCCACCTAAGCATTGCCAGCTAAGAAAATTCTCAAAATATTGCCACTAAAGGTTATGAGTGATTTTTAGTGGCGACTAACGCTCCAACAACCATTCGCTAGTAAAACCTATTTTTTCAACAAAAAAATATGATAATTAATTTTTGATTGCAACCTAATTTTCTAAAATAAATAACTTGCAATATCAATATTAAAAACATCCAATATTATTACGAAAAATCATCAAAATTACTTCTCGATTCAAATCTCCTACTATATAATGCATCATTGTACATTTTATAAATTTACATGACATAAAAATAAAACATACAGTGTCTTCAAACTCCTACTTAATCGATATCATTTTTTGTTTTTTTAAAAACAATGAAGAAAAAAAACACAAAATTAAAATTTAAAGTTAAAAACTTTTAGTGACGATTTTCTTGGCTTTTGTGGCAATTGTTGTCGCCGCTATAGGTCTAGTTCCTTTGTAGTGAATCCTAGTTGGCAACGCTAAGTGGAAGGATTAGTCCCACATGGCTTGCCATGTCAATAAAATTTTGGGATGTTAACTCTTGAGGGTATTTGTGGTCTCTTAGGATAACAGCAGGGGCTTTTTTTATCCCAAAATGTAACGAAGGGTATAAGTGGTCTCTTTCGCATAGTTCAGGGGCAATTTTGACCCTTTTCCGTTAAAAATATAAACAGATCTAGTTTCACTATGAGTTCTGAGTACACGGCATGTTGTAAGAAGAAATAATAACATAAAGACTTCATAAAATGTTTGGGGAGTTTGCATTGAAAATATCAAGTACCTGTCATATGATAAGAAGGCATCACCAATTGTTCCACTAACTTTATTCCGTACCTTTCTTACACAAACCTAGAGTATAAAAGAACTTTTAGTAAAATATCTAAGGTAAACAACTAATGATCTTACTAAGCAAAACAAACCTGCACTTGATCCACGGGGCCAGCTGAAGGGTCTCTGTTTCGATGAATAACAATACCATTGTCACATTTGTTTATGAAGTGTGCACTTCCACTAATATCGTACAGATTTGGAGGACCTCCTACCCAATGATGCAACTGGCAAAACATATTTGATGGTCATTGATATTATCGAATTGAATAAGAACAAAGGCAACAAAACAGCAGTAACACAACAATTTAAGTCATTCAACCTGTCTCGGATGTGCAACAAACCAAACATGACAGGAATGGTGTTGTGCAAACCGTTTTATCTTCGTCAGCATCTGGCTGACATACTCTGTTTCGGTCCTGAAAAGTTAAATGAATGGTTATAAATGACCCAACTCCAACAAGTCCCAACGAAAGAGACCATGTTCCAAGAGATCCCAATATTGGAGAAAACTGAATGGTAATGAACATGGAACATTACAACTACAATTTCAATGTTTCAAGCACAAAGAGAACTCATACTAATTTCAAGAGCGAAACATAGTAAAGAAATGAAACAATAGGTAAGAGAGCAACCCAAGGATGTTATCATAATGAAGAGCTGGACAAGAACAAGCTTCACCAAGTTGAATATTTCTGTAGGTAATATCTTGAAAAGGGGATATAACCAAGAATCCTGAACTTACAAAAATTTCAGCCTTCAGGGTTGACAAGGGTAATCAATCTATGTGGAGAAAAATGAGTGCTCGAGATCTAAGGAAGTAAGAGTTTCCTCTTGAGAAGAAGATGCCGAAGAAGAAAGGCCAACCAACAACATTGTAGAAAAAACTGGTGCTTGAGATACAAGTCAAAATTCCTAAAGAGCAGGACAAATCTACAGAACAAATTTCAAAAGCAAGAATTATATAGATTGCAGGCGACACTACAACAGTTTGAAAGTGCCAAGGGGTCAGTTGATAGCCAAGTGCTGAACAGGGTCAAGGCCCAGGGTATTGAAAATTATTCTCTGTTTCTAATGAAATGAAGCAACAGGATGGGATTTGCCAACCAAATGAGGATTGTGGAATTGACGCCCAATCCAACTGGAGGGTAAGTTTCATCCCCTCCTACTCCCCAACCCTTACTTCCCTGCCACTCCCACCTATAACATTTCCTGCGAAATTCATGTTTAGAATCTTTCTCTTCATTAAGGTCAAGATTTACATATGAAGTACCAAGCTGACACAAGATAGTGCAGGACTCAACAACCTTCTACACATCATACCATCAATCTGTCATGTGATCTCTCCTAACAAACTCAAATAGTCAAACTGATCCAAGTCATCCAACCTATCCAACATACTACTATTACATTAAAAATATAAGTTATGCAAATATTTATTCTTAATTCTAGAAATATGTCTGCTTTTTCCTTCGAAGTAAGCTTTATTTCTTTGCAGCCAAATGGTCCAGAAAATGCATATGGGTATGGTCTTCCAAATTTGCTTCAGACGTCTTGAAATCCTTTGGCTTTGCCAGCATTCTAGTAAGCTCTTAATCTTCATAGGCATCACCCATACCAATAACATTTAGAAACAACACCGAATACTATCTGGAGCACCTGCAATAGAGCAATTCTCTTTGTTTTGAACAATTGAAACTGAAACCAATTGTTGAAACAGTTGACAGAAACCTTCCAATCTCAGTCAATTAGATTCCTTCTGAACTGTAATTGCCAACCAGAATTTGAATGGAAAACTCAGAGATGTAGCCATCCTTAACCATAGAGCAGCTAAAGCCTAAAAATATCTGGAAAACAGTTCTTCAAACTTGTATTACCAATCAGATGTCTGACCAAAATTTAGTTCTGGCCTCATTTCCCACTTCTGGATCAGGATGTTGTAAAAAATCTCCCCCACTCCCCACCCCACAGTACACTTAACCCTTTCCTGACTCCCCCTGTTACTCTTAATCGTGTGGGATTGTCTTCAACCATCCATCTTGCCACAGATAAAATCAATCAACCTTTCCCAGATTTCATGACCACCCTTGCATCTCCACAGTCAATTTAACCAGTAGGCTCTTCCTGTATAATTTCAGTTTTTTCTCTCCGAAACCCCCTGATTTTTACCATTAATGACCACTTCCAATTTTAAGAGATGTATTGTATATTCCTTTTAATGGCATTACCATCCAACAAGAACATATCCCTTATGAAATTCAACTTCTCTCCAATGCTGCAGTTGTAGGTAAAAAGGACATAATAATGTTGGCAGTCCAACTTTTTCTTCTTCTAGTGTTTGCTAGTGCGAAAGAAATGCTCGCACCTGTTCAGCCATCCCAAGGGGTCATTAAATAGAGTAAAACCCAACCTTGTATATCTAGGAATGATAGAACTTCCTCCAGTTTCTGATCCTGACCCTCCTGCCACAGTAGTTTTACCCTTCCAACCTCGATTATGACTGGTATATTTCAGTTGATTCAGAATTGATCTTCAAATTTGCTAAACCCTTGGTGATTGTATCCAAGTGAGCATTTATGGCTTCTTGTCTGGCTAGATTGGCTGCAGGTTTTTCTTGGAACAAGTTCACCAACTGTGCTAGTTGTCGTCGGATTTGGTTTCCCATAACTTTTTTTTATAAAATAAGTGGTATTAATAACAGCATCAAGAAGATGCAAAATTTACAAGATATGGCATTTGAGCTTACAAAAATATCTCTGGCTAACTATACAAACTATCTAAGCCAGAGCTAATGAGTTGGTAAAATCCTGAAGTTGTTCTGCATTAACAGCAGGATACAAGTTGGACCATCTAAACAAATTTTCAATGCACCTAGTCTTCAAAATGCTCAAAGCAGTTGACTCTCCATCAAAACATCTCTTGTTCCTCTCCAACCAAATACACCAAAAAATACAAGTAGGTATCATAATCCAGATCTTCTTATGGTTTTGTCAACTTTCCATAGACTCCAACTCTCATATGCATCCTTAACAGTGAGGGGTGTGGTCCAATTGATGCCAGAGAGACAAAAAAACATGCTCCATAATTCTGAGGCCACCTCACAATGAAGAAGAAGGTGTCAGGGGGTTTCAGCCTCTTTTTTGCACATATAGCATCTGTTTGGGAACTGAATTTTTTTTTTTTTTTTTTTTTTGATAACCGAGAAATCCGTCTGTGACCCGCCCTTTGGACCAATCACAGCCTTCTAAACTCGGTGGATAATGGGCCCGCCCCTCTACCCTTCTCCACTTAAATACCTGGCATCGCTTTGCATGGTGTGGGGCTTGAACATTTTGGGAACTGAATTTTTCTGTTCTTTATGTTGTTTTGGGTGAGACATGCCTCATACAGAGCTATCCAGGTAAAAAAAACTACCTTAGGTGGTAGCTTGGTCCTCCAAATGAGTTTCCAGGGCCAATTAGCTATCACGGGGTTTCTAGAGCACAATTGTTGATACCCTTCCTTGACTGTATAAACTCCTTTCTGGTGTCCCCATTTGAGCTTATCAGCTGCCTGGAGATTAATGTGACAATGTTGTAGTCTAGCAAAAAGGTCTACCAGATCATTCACTTCCCAATTGTGCATATTCCTTCTAAATCTCAGATCCCGATTGATCCCTTCTCTATTAGCAATAACAGAATTGGGATCTTGAGCAATTCTAAACAGATCCGGGAAATCCTCCTGAAGAGTGGTATTTCCAAGCCATTTGTCTGTCCAAAATTTTAGGAGTAAACCATTGCCCAATTCAAAGTAAGCGTTCTGATCAAATGTATCCCACAACATCCTAATACTCTTCCACAGTCCCACTCCGTAAGGAAGTGTAGTAATATTTGAGCACCAGTGATTCAGCCTTCCATGCTTAGCTATGATGACCTCTTTCCAGATCCCTGCGTTTTCCAAGTTGTATCTCCAAAGCCACTTCATCATCATACTTTTGTTGTGGGCTGCAAGGTTCTTAATGCCAAGACCTCCTTGGTATTTTGGTTTCCCATAACTTCCGTCTCTGATACCAAGTTGTTATGATCCCCTGATATGGATCTAGTTACAAAATGAATCTGACGTTTTCTTCCCACGACCTACGGTGCTGGTTCGTTAAAAGAGAAGTTGCAATCTCATGAGTTAAAGTACTCAAACTGGAATAAGTTTCTGCTTAGATTTCATATGATAAACATAGAGTTTAAATACAATACTGATAAGATAACTACCCCTAGAAACTAGGACACGGTTTCCTAACATCACTGGAGTCCAAAACTACAAATAACTACTTCAAGGAAATAACTACTACTGGAATGAGATGCTGCAAATAACTACTATTGTAAGCCTTTAGGAGCCAAGGAGTGCTAACATTTTGTCAATATTTTTGAACCTTCTCTAAGCCTTAGCCAGCTAATGATATTTTTTTGTGTTTCTTGTTTCCTTGTTCGATCCACAAAACTCTGGGATTTTATCAGCAATATAATTCTTCAAACTTTTCCACTTTTTCCAGTTACCTCTTGATAAAATTCCTCTCTATTTCTGCTTGTTCTTCATCAGAAAGCACCCTCTCACCTTGCTCTATCTCTTCCAGAGTAGCCAGAGACTTGTTTTTCTCATCTTCCAATAAAAATTAACCCTTTTTCCTCAATCTTCACCTCCTTTGGAATGCTGCTACTGTCTCCCTTCACTTTTAATCTTGCCCATTGAAGATGGTTTTCCGGAGATGTCTCCTCCATTTTTAACCATCCTCCACACTGCTCTCTGATGGCTTTAGATATCTATCTGACCAAAAGTGAAGAGACCCATAGCTTTGACCATAGTTCATTCTCTTTGTCATCCATTCAAACAGCATCCAGCGACTGGAGCCCACCACTCCAAGTAGATTTTTTCTTTTTTCCAGCTCCACTCCCCTTGAAGAACATGTTCCACCATGTATTTTGTTAAGAACTTAAACAAAAATTGACTGTCAGCCATTTCGTAAATGTTCACCCTGAATGCGTTCTTTCAAGTAGACACCAACCACCTTCTTATATCTGATAGTGTTGGTTTTTCATTCAAATCACTGTTAAAATGACTGACCACACATCTGCCCATGTTATCGCTCTCAGCCGATGCTTTCCCCTCAGTTATGGTGATTTTATTGTCGCTTGTACTGATCAATGTTCCGTTTGCCCCCTTCGATTGCCATTTACTGGTTCTGACAGTTTCAGCATATGGAATTTCTGGGTCTGTCTTCCGGTCGGACTTGTATCTTTTTGATGAATTTGTTGATCTTAAACGTGATATCCCTATATCAAGCCTTTAATGTCACTTCAGGGATAATAATGACAGATCTGTTGTCTCCTTGTACCGAAAAAATACTTATAAATCTGCTGAAATTGTTGTTTTCCCTTGAACAGAAAAATAGTGCATAATGCTCCTTAAGTTTTCATCTCCTCGTCTGTGCTTCTTTAACCCTTGAAGTTTCCTGTAGGAAGTAACAAATCCACTCCATGGTTTTCTTGTTGAATGTCGTTCTTCTCATCAGATTACGGCTTTGTTCCACCCAGTCGTACCAAGGTTCCGACCCCACCGCAAAATACATTCTGTTCTCCCCCATCGAATTTTGGTTGCTGTAAATGAGGGAAAAATAGGAAGAATGGTAGAAAGGATGGAAAGATATTTTCCAGTGATCAGAAGTCCACCGGATTCAGGACCCCAGCTTGAAAATCGGCTCTAAGAAATTACCTTGGGGGTAGTGCCTGGGAGCCTTCTCTCTCTACTCCTTAACACCACTGTTCCAACTAAAAGTCAATATTTCTATAAGAAACAAAATAAAGAAAAACGGGAATGCTTCACGCTTCTATCCAAGAAGCAGCTGCTTCTTCCACCTTGCCTCGCCTTAGCCATCTGAAGAGCCAAACCCTACTTCACCTAGATTTTACATGACTGCATCCAACTCCATCTAGCTCTTAAAAATTCATGAAGCAAAATCGGGAGACCAGAGAGCGGTACAAACCCCAGTCCATCAAAACCTCACAAGCAGTCCCTTCAATTTAGTTCACTCGATTCAATAACTACCAAAAGCTTAAGTGTTTTAACAATAAGACAAATAGGAGAAAAGGTTTTCTAAGAATTGCACAGTTTGATTATTCCGTCAAAGCTTGGGGTTTAAATAGTGTGTACAAGAACCCTACATCTTATATTTCTCTTAATCACAAAGTTACACAGATTAACCTTTCTAGATAATATAAGAACCTTCCGTATTTACACTTTCAACAATAGGAAAGGAAAGATTTCCCATCTTTCACTTATGGCCACATCATTCTCTCTTGCATTTAAAAATTCAAAGAACACATCTTCTGATTTTAGAAGCACAACAAAGACAAGAATCCATGAATCTTTTGGAATTTCACTTTCCTTGCTCTACTTCTTGGAATCTGCTTGCCTGTCAAGATCCTTCAGCAGAATGGACTACCAAAAGATTGCTTTTAAATGGAGCATCAGATGGCAGCAGTATGAAGAAAAGAATAGTGGTAGCAAACAAATATAAGCGAGGAGAAAATGCAAAGAGAACGTAGAAATTCACCCTATACAAGGTATCAGCACAATATATCCTCAAGCAACTACCAAGAACAGGCGGCAAGAAGCATTTTAAAATTGAGCTACACATTTTGTTATCCTGGGATCATCAGGAGACTGCGTGTTAATATGGATTCACCAACCATAAAATATGCATAAAAGGTTACTCACTGGCTTGAAGGACGTTGATGATCAAGTTCATTGTATGGGTCAATTACAAGTCCATTCACCCCATGTCTTAAAACTGCAGCTTTTGCAAGCGAGAGAACCCAGTCAATATTCGGTAGGCAATCATTCTCACACCTGTTCAATGAACCTACTTTCTGGTTAGTGAAGAAAAAAGAGATTCAACAAACAAAAAAAGAAAAGATAGCTCAAGAAGTAAACTTCTTCAGAATACGAGATTCAAATAAAAAAAGAAAAAGATGGCTCAAGGTTATGCGCTTTCCCTAGCTTAAGCGGCAAGGCATGTGCCTCATCACCCATGGGCTCTATTATTAAGTAGGTAATACTAAACAATAAATATAGTTAGTAAAATGACATATTATTTGCTAAAAAGACAGTATGAATGAATTTTTAGTAATTATGGATAATAAATAAAAAATTAGTCTAAGAAAGCTAGCCCAAAAAACATAAATTGCAAAAAAAAGACGCTAAGAAAGCTAGTTCAAAAAACTTAAAAATTAAATCTTTCCATCTGAATCAGAGATTTAAAATAGTTTTAAACTTGATTGAAATTGATTTTCACTTCATACATTTCATTTAAGTACAATATTTTCAGTTGTTTTGTCCAAATCAGTGTTGTTAGTATTTGTAGATATTTTTCCATACCACAGGCACACAATCTTTCCTCATTAGTGAATCTCTTTGTTAAAGCTCACACTTAAATTTTTCTTTGCACTTAAGACACCAATAGACTATGACGCATTTTTTTGCTTTCACCTTTACCTACTCCGTTTAGAATATACAAGAAAAGTTAATAAAGAAATCATTGAGATATTTAAAAAAGCAGAAGAGAAGTACAGTAGCAACAATATGATGACTTGCACACCATAAGAACAAGATGACTACGAAGAGATTACTGAAGATACATGGGGAATAGTCAGATAGAAAAAGGCCATATTTTCCTCTCTCTCTCTCTCTCTCTCTTTTCTAGTTTTAAAGTTTGATGCAAAGAAGAGACCATTTCTTGCTTGAGTCTTAGGACCTCACTATTTAAATGTGTTTTTCTTCCACATCGCATTGCTTCACCCATTAAGAGCAATAACACCTCGTTCACATCATTTTGTTGCTTGATCACAGTAAAAAAAGATGGACTTTGAGCCTAACTCAATCCAAAAGATAAACTCATGATGTGAGAATAGCCAAGACCATTATTTTATAAGGATTTCTCAAGATCATATAAAAAGACAGCAACTCATACACCCAAACCAATCTGGGATCTAATACCCCGTCACATTTCCAGGTTGGATATCATTACGTGGACAACATAAGCCTAACTCAACACCAAAAGCTAGCTCATGAAGGAAGGATTGTCCAAGTCCACATAAGCAGACTGTCAATCCATTCCCCAACCAATGTGGGACTTTAACCCCCCTTCACACCCAGACCCAACTGGAGCGTGGGCTAGGAGCCCAAACAAGGATGGACCTGGCTCTAATACCATGAAAAGATATGACACCTAAGCCTAACTCAACCCCAAAAGCTAGCTCATGAGGGGAGGATTGTCCAAGTCCATATAAGCACACCACCGGTCCATTCCCCAACCAATGTGGGACTTTAACCCACTCTAATAGGATCAACCATGAAATAGGAATGGGTCTCTTATACCATGTAAAAAAATGCACTTTATGCCTAACTCAACCTCATGAGGTGAGGATTGCTAAATACCAAATAAGGGACAATAGTTTATTCTCTCAACTGATGTGGGACACAAAAGATAACACTAGATTCCTAATTGGATACTACCTATTCAAAACATGGCATCCTTAATGTATATACACAATCAGTTAATCCAGGATTGTCATTAAATTGAACTACGAAACATGGAGAGTAAGCTTAGAGAACATAAGTCAGTTCCAAATAGAAGTCAGTCAGATCATTAGGCAAGCGTCAAGATTCATATTTTAGGAAACTGCCACCATCACCTTATGAGGAAAAATGTATCACTGAGCCATTGCTTTCCCTCTTCAAACTCCTGAGCGCTCATCCGTTCAACAGATTCCCCATATCTGCATTGCCAATGATCAAAACATAAACATACAAATTAACAATGAATAAAAGATAAATAATTTCAGAAGTATGAGTAAGATATTTCTCTTGTGCAACAGAAAGTCAAGTTTTGCTTACAGGAAAAAAACTGAAAGAGGAAAACAACAAAAGCTTTACAAATAAGTTGCAGGATATGACTATCCCAACTTCATAGACCAGCGCACAGAGAAGTTATAGTGGGTTGATATTCTAGAAAGATAAAAAAAAGGCTGTCGGTCCAACCAGTAAGCTATTCTTGCAAAGAATGAAAGCTTCAAACATGTGCCACACATTTGCAAGAATGGGAAGCAGCCTGTTTATGATACCTAAATTATTATTTTTTTGGAAACCGGTTACTATTGTGTGTATAAGATAAGGTGCGCAAAATAGTACATGGGTTGTACTGTAACCATATTTACAATTGTACTCCAGAAGATAAACTCACTTACCTTTATATTGACTCTAGAACATCATAATAGAATCAGTATCATCCAAGTATATCTGTTTACACCAAAAGTTGAATATAAAAAGACAGATCAATTTGATCTTCTGCATACTATTCTCTACTAAGTTGTTCGGACTCAAGTGCGGGTGTCCGATACGGGTGCAAATCTAGAGGTAGGGTCCTTCATGATCTAATTTTTAAGATTCGGGGATATGGATCCATGTATGGATACGGGGGCGGGGATTTGCCTAAAAATAATTAAAATATCTAAAAATAAAGTTATAAAACCTAAATTATGAGATATTATGTGGAGAACTTGAGGAGATTATAGGAAAAGGAGTGACATAGAATTTCTATATAAAAGGTATTCCATTTTCTTTAATTTCAGCTTAGCTTTTGTATTGGTTACAGAAATCATTAAAACTGTCCAGACTTTCCCCATCGATTTTGGTCAAAGTACCCAGAATCAGTTGACCAAATTGGACACGGATCCCACACCCACACCCATGTCGTGTCGACACGGGTGCGACACCAAAAGTGAAGAGTCCAAGCAACTTAGATTCTCTATATTTTCAAAACATATCCTTCCAGATTGTCCACCAGATGCAAGCAGGGACAATTCTCCATCTACTTTTGTTATTTGCCATAGATCCTTCTTCTTCCCAACTCTATAAAGCTTTTGTAATCTTCCGGGCATTATCCAGAATATGCCTTTCAGGTCAAATAAAATTCTCCACAGTTGTTCTGTCACTTTGCAATGAAGGCATAGATGGCGAACTCTGATTTAACTAAAGACAGAAAGCATCTGGGACACATCGTGATCTTTATTTTCATTAAATTGTTCTTGGTGAGGACAACTTTCTTAGCCAAGAGCCACACAAAATAAGCTACTTTGTGTGGGATACTAGTTCTCCAAATATGCTTCCAAGTCCAGTTATCAATCTACTGATTAGACTGATTCATCATCTTGTGTGCTACATTCACCTTGAAGTCACCACTGTTGCAACCTTGCCACCTCAATACGCTTTACCCTGCCTATAACCCACTGAAGGCTGATAGAAAACTTTTATCCTGTCCATTTCTTCATCATTGAGTGATCTTCCAATCTTGAGGTGTCCACATTTCTTCTATAGTCTTCTGTTGGTAAGCACAAGATTGAATATGCCTGGAAAGTGTGATTTTAGAGTCCCTATGCCATGTCAATAGCCTCGCAAAAGCTAGTTTTGCTAACATCATAAACTTTGATCTTTGGTTTGCTCTTCATTTCATTCCAAAAGGCCCCAGTGGATCTCCATATACTAACCCCATCTGGTGTATCAACCTCCTTAGTTGCCCATTAGTCTTCCTCCTCATCTTATACATTTATAACTTTACCCCACAATGACTGATTCTCATTGGTAAGTCTCCACACCCATTTCATATTCAAAGCTTTATTGTGAATCTTTAAATTCCTAATTCCCAGACCCCCAAATTTCTTTCCAAAAGTCGGAGCTTTCCATTTGACTAGATGAAACCCTTTCTTTTCTTTGTTACCTTACCAAAGGAATGCTATCCTAATACTGTCCAGCCTCTTAATGACATCATGTATGTATGAGGAGCATCTAAGACTGAGTAAATGAGTGTCAACCTACCACCAAGAGATAAGTACTAAATCTTTCATTTAGCCAATTTCTTCTCATAGTTTCTAATAACACGTCCCAAATTCCTTTAGATTAATTATTTCTCCCCGTGGCAATCCTAAATAAGTAGTTGGTAAAGTACAAACTTCTCCACCTAGAATTGTTGTGTTGTCTGTGTGACTTCATTGGGTGAGAAATAACAAGTTTTTCCTCCAGTTGATGAGTAAGCCAGACACCCCTTGCCTTATTCAATAGGTAGCTCATTCCTTCCCTAGCTAGTATGAAAAGAAATGGAGACAAAGAATCACCCTTCCATTTTATTTAACTACCTAACAACCAAAAGATATAAAACAACATGAGACAACATGAGAATTTTATGTTTTTCTCCTATTCCACATAAATATAGTTTGTCAAACAGCTTCTAAATATATAGATAGCACTTCAATTCTCTGTCTTCTCAACATTCTTATAAACTTAATGCCTGAATGATACTACATTCTATTATACAAATTAGAGTACAAATAGGCAACTTATCACCATCTCCATTTTCTCAATGATACCGAATATGTAATTAAAAAGGTGTAATGCAACAAGAATGTTGCAAGGCATCTTGCTTGCATGTAGAAATACTAAAAAGAAAATGACAGAGACTTAAGAAGTATAGGATGTTTCCTACTTGCCTCACATCAAAAAAAGGTTTCTTTATGTGCTTCTCCAAAAGTTTCCTAGCATGCTCCCGTACCTACAGATCAGTAAAGCAAAAAGAAAGTAAGAAAAAACCAGCAAAACAAGCAAACACAACTGGGCAAGGGTGAATGCGCTGAAGCGTACGTTGTTCCTTACTTTGGTAAAAAAGAAAAAAAAAAGTGGAATACCCTAATTTTATGAAATAATATTTAGTGAAAGGTGAAGGCTGGGCTGTAAACAGCTCTTTCTCACAGATTTTAAAAGCTCACATTTAGCACTAAAGAAAAACTAAGGTAATAGTTGACTACAGACTATGATAAAACTCAAGAAAGATAAAGTAATATGGAGAAGAAAAAATTCTTTCACGCACCGACAAAACCGAAAGCGCCCCTTCTTTCAAAGAGAGTAGGACGGGTTATTCACATTTCATTTTATGGTCAGAGGCGTGATTGGGAAACCATTCTAAACACAATTAACCTTTGAAGCATTTGGGGTGGCAACACAATAATGCAAGTACTAACATCGGTCCAAAACAAAACTACACGAGCTGAAACATTATTTAAGCAATATTTTCATCTTGTTTCACAAGAATTCAAGATGTAGGATTTACTTGGTTTGACAGCATAAATTGAATCTGATTATTCTAATAAGTGACTGTTAAATAATCTATTTGAAATTAACTAACTTCGTTGGTATACCTGTCATTATTAGCTCAAAGTTTGACTTTAACACAATCAAACACCAAAAATTAACATGAGTGATACAACATCATCTATGCCTAAATAACAATCGGGTTGGATTCGGCTATATGAATTCTCCATATCACTATGCTCCACTTTAACTTGTTCATTACTAATAAGAGATGGACTTTAGGCCTAACTTTATCCCAAAAGCTAGCTCATAAGGTGAGGAGTGTCTAAGACGATAAAAAGGAGACCAGTTTTGTATCCGACAACCAATGTGGGACTTTAACCACCTTGTTGCAAGTCTTAGACCTACCAACTAAAGTGTAAACACATAATATGGAGGCCCAACTTCGAGACCGAAATTGGAATGGCTTTGATACTAATATCATGATAAAAAAAAATAGACTTTGGGCCTAACTCAACCCTGAAAAATAGCTCATTAGGTGAGGATTTCCCAAGACAACATGAGGAGTTAAGAGATTTCTAACAATTAAAATCCTCATTCAGTGAGCAGCAAGGTTTGTTGTACCTGATTGCATATAATTAGATGTGGTTTAAGTTGCTCGGACTGGGGGTTAGACGTCCGATATGATTGCAGATGTAGAGGTTGGATCCTTCATGATCTAAATTTTAAGATTCGAGGATATGGATACAGATGCAGGATTCGGCTAAAATAATTCAAATATCAAAGTTATGAAAATATGCCTAAATTATGGTGGACAATTTGGAAGGAAAGGAATGCACGACTTTTTGAGAGCAAGTATGAATCTGTCATTATTATTAAGCACAAATGCATCTCTTACTTTTTTGTGTGAGATGACTATTCCAAATGATATAGAAGTCATGATAGACTTCTTGAGTTTATTGCGCAGTTAGCACTTAGCAGTGATGTTGACTTGTAAATATCATTAAAGCACCTTCTGGATGTTGACTTTCTAATCCAAATATTTTTGACAATAGAAAAAAACATATGCCTAAATTATGATTTCCCTAACTTATGTTTTGATGTTTCAGAAATCATTGCATGTGTCTTGAATTTCTCTATCGATTTTGGTCTAAGTACCCAAAATTGATTAACTAGATCTGGTAAGAATCCCACACCGATGTTGTGTCAACATGAGTGTGGCGCCAAAAGTAAAAAGTCTGAGCAACTTAGGATGTGGCAACAGAGGTAAGTCAAATTTCAGGAGTCAGCAAAGATGCTAAATTTCATCCGAAGACAAAGTTTCTCCTGAAACCATTCCCCTGAATGTCTCCACATTTTCTACAATATTAGCCAAACCCCTTGATGGGCACACGTTTCCCCCCATGACCTCTTGTTGTTCTTTCATGTAATTTTCAACATGTCTCCTTTGTATGTCTTGGCTTTCCACAATAATCACAATGCAAGTAATCTTGTCAGAAGTGATCGTCTTTGGTTATTCATGACTCATGAGAGACAGTTAACACACAGTTCTCAATTAAAGCCTGATACAACAGGACACCTCGTGGTCTCTCTTCATGTTGACAGACTCATGCATCCTCAACAGAAGGAAAAGGAACTTTAACAAGCACTTAAACTGTGGTCTGATCATACTATTGGTTCAACCAGTCAGAAAATATAACACCAACCAACACCAATATAAGACAAAACCCAATAGTGATCTGCTAATTTTCAACAGATTGATATTCTTGAGATAATTTTTGGGCTGGCCAGGCTCATGCGACACCGACATCAATGAGGAATGCACTTATCAAAACAAAACATGAGATAATTTCTTCCATGTGATTCGTATCTTTTAATACCTTTCATCACTGTAATGTTGTCACTTATAAACCAGTGTTTTGGGATATCAATGTAAGACATGGTCAAACCAACTCGGACAATCTTCTCTCAGTTTATCCCTGTTGGTGGTACTTGAACCTTTTGTTGGATGTAATTATTTCAAATCTTGTCTAAAGTTGCACGACTTAATATCCAAATTTACACGATATTCATCTTGTAGATATGTTGAAACATAGTGGTCAAACCCTCACCCCTTTCACCAATTCTTTTTTACTTCAACTTTACCCTTAAATACTAGCTCAATGCTAATTCTCACTCTTTGTACTTTTACATATATACCATAAGACCATGATAAATTAATTTAAAACGTCGGATTAACTTGTGTGAACTGTGAACATCAACTCTTCCCTTTCTAAGATATCCAGTAACTCTGTTGACTTCTTTATCGACAAAACTATATTCCAAGTTAGTAGCCTTTTTCTCGTCTCTTTAATGTCTTGTAGACATACAATGACCTAATATCAACTCACCTCCTCTTTTGTATCTAACACCACCCAGCAACAATATGGGGAGGATAAACTTTTTTAGGCTTCATACGATAATATTAACTCACATATGAATGTGAAACTCACACATGAATAGTTGATTAATGGAGTTGACACAATTAAAACTAATACAGCTTACACAAACCAAACAAGCTTGTAAAGACAAGTAGGACTGTAACGGTTTGACTTAAGGATTCTCTCAACACCTAGTTAGTACAATAGGACTAAAACATTACTTATGCTTATCCAAATTGCAGAATGATTTAGGGATCTAGGCAATCTTCAACCAATAAGCAAGGCATAAAAGTAAATCACTTATTTTTTATTTTTATTTTTTAGAAATACCCCATAAAACTTTAAGCAATCTAATCTTGTGCAGATTATATATCTTGGAACTTCAATTTTTTGAGTAAAATAGAAGATCCAGATAATGCAGAAATATGTTATCTTTTGCATGACATCCTGCAATGCTCTACTACCAATAAATCTTCCTAGAGGGTAACAATTAAGAATCTTCGTAGGATCCATTTATCACAAGCTTCATCTAGTTAACTGAGGTAGCAAAAACAACTCGGCAACTAATTTCTAATGAATTCAATCACTCTCATTTATCCTAGCTTGACATGATGAGAAACAGATTTATAAGTGCCTACCCTGTTTTCCATAGAACAAAGTGCAAATTTCCAGCCAACACTGTGATTGAGATTGCATAAAAGAGCATCAATCCACTCACTCTTCCCCGAGTTTGGGACTCCTGTAACAATAGTCAACTCTCCAGGCACAACCTGTACAGAATCAACAAGAAAGAAACAAAAATCAGCCAGGCTGTAGAACTTCATGTCTTGGTTTCATGCTGGTATGCCAATAATAAGTCTCAATCTAGAGTAATAATACGTTTTCAGAATGTTATGCTGAAGAATAGGATTATGTATCATTTCTCGGGGACAGTTCAGTCGTTTTGGTTCTTTACTTCAGTACCTTGTCTTTAGGTAATATACTAGTGTCACAAGGCCAGTTAACACTGTACCATCCCTCTCCATTCCCCAGAATCTCTCATCTTTTTTTTGTTCACTATGTTACTTTTTTTCCTTGTAATTTAAGTAACTATTTTATTTGGATAACACTGGTGCTCAAGTTAGCTTGTGCACACCTCCACTAATCTCCACCAGGTACCTACTACTTCCCACCAACAGGAGTACTAGGTAATTCAGCCCACCAAGATTAGGCAGATGGGAAGAAACAACCTTGTGTTTGCTCTGTTGGTTTCGAACTTTGATTGCCAAGGTTGCCACTCCAACTTTTCAACTGCTAGACCACCTCCGTGGGGACTTGATTAAGTAAATAACCTTATTGAAGTGATACACAAAATCCTCTAATATAAAGTGTACAAAAAATGAAGAGAATCTAATACAAAGAAGATTATCTATGTTAACTGGGATATCACATATGCTCCAAAAGTATACCCAAAAAGAAAACCTTCCATTAAACTTTCTTTACATAATTGTCAAATCTAATTGGTATATCACAAACCCCTACAACATAGCTGGCATCCCTGGCATGAATACACATATATCCCTATCCTATTTAAGTACTGGGAGACTAGAGACACACTTAGTTCCCAAATAAGAACCCACTCACATTGTATAGTTGATTTAAGGACCTCCATCCAGTTGGAACCCCAAGCTCGTAGCCAATTGTTTGGTGATAATATGCATCAATCTCAGTAAAGTAATTTTTAAAGTCGAATAATCCTTGTATCGGGTACAGCTCTGCACCTTCAATAACCTCCCTCAGAGCACCCGGCCCCAGACACATAAGTACCTATTAATGCCCAAATGAAGAAGGATAAACTTGAGGTTACTGAGAGTCATAAAGAAAACAGGTGAAATGAGTATCTTTGATGCTAAAATGAGTAAGACAACTAGAAAAGTATTATCAGTTGGTAAATCGAAACTCATAATGGCTAGAAATAGGTTACAAAGGATCTAGCATACAAAAATTTGCGCATGTCAAATCATGAGCATAGTTTACCTCCTGTCCATATTTATCAAAAAGGAGGTTTTCGTTTTGCCCCAGGAAGAACGTTATTGTGGAGACATGATATAAACCGACTATAGAATTACATAACTGTGTGTCAGTAACAGATGGAGTAATTTCATTGAGAGAACTACAAAGCGGTTATGCAACCAATATTTGCAAACAGATGCTACTTTGAGAAACAAGAGAAATGTCATTCAAAACAACTCTCAATTTTAAATTTTCAAAAAAAAAAAAAAAACTCTCAATTTTAATTTAAAAAAAAAAAGAACAACTCTCAGTTTTACTAGTGCTTGAAATTAAAGTAGACTTAACAAGACTGCTATTAACTATAAACTTGCATTCCATATCAAAAATCAAAACATAAAATTGAACAGAACAAATTCCAACCAAGGGGCTTGGAGAAAGTACACAACTGTCAATCAAAAATCAGAAAGCTCGTGGAGTATGAAAAAAGATCTGATTCAAGAAATTCTTTTTTTCTTCTCCTATAAACAAATAGGTAAGAAAATTCCATGCATGAAGACCTCATTTGCATCTTTGAAGTGGTCTATAGTGCTCTTTTTTGGCCATGTAATTCGCCAGCACCTACATTGTCAAAGAGAAAAAGTTGAGAGCACTCATTATTAAGGTATAATATATCAAAACTACCATCAGTGTCACTGGAATAAAGTACACTAGACCTTTCTCTCCCTAACCGGCGGGCAAGCTCTTCAGCTAATGCTTGACCAGGTGGATCCCCATCAGTTGCCAGTATTATGCGAGATGCCTATAAATGGTGAAAGAACAAAAACTTTCTTGTTACATGACTGATACATAATAACATAGGAAACATCAACAGCAAAGAGGGGTCTTCAAACCTTTTCCAAATATTCTTTGCAGTTCCAAAGATACTGATACTTTGTGTCCTAGCTTCACAAAATGCACCAAAAGGAGCATTAGTTCCACAATATGTTAAGATGACAGCTAAATTATACAAATATAAGGAGCAGAGCTCTTCTCTGCACTCCTATAAAGGATGGAGCAAAAGCAGCAGAATGTGGATGAGGATACACAGTAAATACATGCATGAATCGAAAAAGGTACACATGGCCACAATGCAATAAGGGGTCGTTTGGTAGGATGCATTAGAAAAAATAATACATGCATTAGCTTTGTGTACTACTAATACTTTGTTTGGTACATCTTTTCAACCTATGTATAATAATACAAGATTCTATTTGGTATTATGATATGTATAACTAAATACATGGGAAAACCATGGTATTAGCAATGCAAGGGGTTTTAATGCATGCATTAGCATGGTTAAAGTAACAATTACCCCTCAAAGCCTTTCCACATCCTTTCCACCATATTTGTAAACAAATGCAATGTTTTATTTTAAATACACCAAACCAAACACTGCATAAGAAATACTCTCACATAACTAATACAATCATTACTATACACCATATTCTGCACTATTCTTATACAACTTACCAAGCAATCCCTAAGAGGATGAACTGGTCAAGATAATGGGCATACTGCAATTAGGGAGGGGGAGGGGGAGTGGGGGGGGGGGGGGGGGCACAAAAGAAGAAGGAGAAAATTAGAATTTATAACTCTAGAGTCTAGCCTGAAACCATAAAAGGCTGATTAAAAACTAAGAAACTGAATGCATGAGAATTGAGCTGATATAAGACATCCTTCTCAAAGATAAACAAAAGTTGGTTACAAGATCCATAAACACAAAAGTTTTCATGATAAAGCATTTACTTAAAAATTCATAGTTAAGACAAACTATAGAAGAAAAACCTTATCTACAGGCGGCAAATCTTTATCTGAAATAGATGGAGGAGCGCCATCTGGAACGCTCACACAATTCCGAAAGCCTGCTTCTTCCATAGCAAGCTTGTCCATCTCACCCTCAACCTAACATAAGAGAAGTAGGCAATAGATATTACCAGAAGTGAAAAAGCCTTTTCAAAAACGAAATGATGAGTGAATCAGAAGTTACAATGATGATATCACTTGCTCCCTTTATATCGTCGAGACCATAGAATATTTTTAAAGTATCAGCTTCCTGCAAATGAACAACATATTAATGAGGTCCAACTAATAACAATTTATGTATCAGTTTTCCACATCCAACAATATAATAATAACAACAACATACCCAGTGTATCCCACAAGCGGGGCTGGGGAGGGTAGAGTGTACGCAGACCTTACCCCTACCTGGGAGGTAGAGAGGTTGTTTCTGATAGATCATTGACTCAAGAGTAAGCATTTCAAAGCAGTCCAAAAAAAGAAATAAGAAGCGAAGAAGCCATGGGGCATTTTCATGGACTGGACGAGAGAGTCATTTTGAACTCCTTCTGCCCTTGGGGCGAAAAAAATAAATTAAAAAGCATGACAGTTTGCTGAAAAGAAATGAATAATCACTACAACAAAATAGTAAGGCAATCGAAATACGAGAAAAAATTAACAGATAGTAACAAAAATTAAGGGACAAGAGCAGTGTATATACTACTAGAAAAGCTAGGCAACACACAACTATCTACTAACCTTCTACCCTAATTTGTGCCCTTCATAACCTTCCATTTAATGTCATGTCCTTAGTAAGCTAAAGTTGTGTCATGCCTTGTCTAATCACCTCTCTCCAATAATTCTTCTGCCTATCTCTACTTCTCCTAAAACTCACCAAAGTTAACATCTCACACCTTCACATAGGGCATCCATGAGTCTCATCTTCACATGCATGAACAACCTTAGCCTTGCCTCCCTCATCTTGTTCTCTTGCAAAGCCACTCTCACCTTGTCCCAAATATCTTCATTTCTAATTTTGTCTCTCCTAGTATGCCGACACATCCGTCTCAACATTTTCATTTCCACAACTTTCAATTCTGAACATGTGAGTTTTGACAAGCCCATACTCAATCCCATACAACATTGTTGGTCCAACCACCACTTCGTAGAACTTACCTTTAACTCTTGGTGGCACCTTCTTATCACACAAGACACCGAATGCAAGCCTCTATTTCATCCACCCTGCACTAATTAAGTCAGTGATAACCTTGTCAATTTCTTGATTAACTTGAATTATAGACTCAAGATACTTGAAACTTCATCTCTTATGGATAGCCTGTGCGTCAAGCCTCTCTTCCACGCTAGCCTCATGGGACGCATCCTTGAACCTGCACTTTAAGTACTATATCTTGGTTCTGCTCAACCTAAACCCTTTAGACTCATTTGTCTCTAAACCTCACGTCTAGCATTAACTCCATTGTGAGTCTCATCAATCAGAACTATGTCATCTGCAAATAACATACACTAGGAACCTCACCTTGGATATGCCGCATTAATTGTCCTTCATCATACATGTCCTTCATCATACACCTCTAGCCTCCAAACATCTCCATAGAACCTTCCTCGAGACTTGTCATATGCTTTTTATAAGTCAATGAACACCAAGTGTAAGTCCCTTTTTCTCTCCTTATATTGATCCACCAGTCTCCTTACAAGATGAATGACCTACATAGTTGATCACTCCAACATGAATCTGAACTAGTTCTCAATAATATATATGCCCCTCATAACTTTCATCTCCACCACCCTCTCCAAAACTTCCATCGTGTGGGTTAATACCTGACACTTCTATAGTTATTACAATTATGAATGCCACCCTTGTTCTTGTACAAGGGTACCAGTATACTCAACCTCCATTCTTCAGGCACTTTTGTTGTCTTAAAAATGACATTAAACAACCAGCCAGTCACTCCAAGTATGCCCAGTCTGCATTCTTCCAAAATTCCACTAGAATCTCGTCTGGCCCAATTGCCTTTCCCCTACTCATCTTATGAATATCACTGTTAGGATTCTTAGAGAAGGATCGAGTCACAGGACGATGAATAGGGAAATCAAATTCAACTGCCTTTGATTTTCACTTGCTTTTGTTCGAATTCCTAGATCGACCTATTTTTGAATATGAATTCAGCTCATCAAAGGGAAGCTGAAACCTTAGAGTTCAATGGAAGAGAGAACTCCTATCTCTTATTTTTTATTAAAGTCTGCGTACTTCTTATTCCTCAAATCCTCCTTTAAATAGGAGTCTTCTTATAGTAATAGGAAGTCTTATGGAACTAGGAAACATAAATCCTATTCTAAACTAATAAGAAAACTACTAACAATATAATTAAATTCTTCCTATTCTAGAATAATAATAAACTACTAGCGTTATAATTAAATCAAGTTATTTGGCTCTCTGTCGCACATATGTCTTGCCCACAAATGCGTCCACAACATTACCCCCCTCATGCTGAAAGAGCTTGTCCTCAAGCTCGAACGATGGATAAGCATGCTTAAAACAGTCTACATCCTCCTAGGTCGCTTCATCCTCTGTCATACCCAACCATTGTATAAGAATCTCCTTTGTACCACGATTTAAACGAGCTCGAATGACAGCAGCAGGCAAAGGAACTACTCGGTCGTCCTCTAGTGCTGGTAGCTCTATAATAGGTGGGAGTTGGTCGCCTTTGAATGCCTTCAAAAGGGAAACATGAAAAACGTTATGAAGTCGACTGTCATTTGGCAAATCCAACTCATATGCAACCTGTCCAATTCGCCGTAAGATTGAAAATGGACCATAAAATTTGGGGGACAGTTTATTGTGAATACTCAGCCGCATGGAGCGCTGCCTGTAAGGATGTAAACGAAGCCATACAAGTGACCCTGGAGAAAATTCGACGTCACGATGGCCCTTATCATAATACTCCTTCATTCGTTGTTGTGCTGCTTGCAATCGAAATCGGATATCACCCAAGATGTGATCACGTTCCAGCAATGCCTGTTCAACAACTTCTACCAGAGTGGTCCCAGGCACATATGAAAGCAAACGAGGTGGGTCACGACCATAAACAACCTTGAAGGGTGTGGTTTGCAATGCCGAATGAAAAGATGTGTTATAACAAAATTTTGCCCATGGGACTCAAGCAACCCACTTTCGAGGACAAGTACCAACAAAGCAGCGAAGATACATTTCAACAGTACGGTTAACGACCTCTGTTTGCCCATCTGTTTGTGGGTGGTAAGCAGATGAGAATTGTAGTTTAGTACCATTCAAGCGAAAAAGTTCCTTCCAAAAAGTGCTAGTAAAAACCACATCTCTATCACAAGTAATAGTTTCAGGTATCCCATGCAAGCGAACAATCTGCTCAAAAAATACCTGAGCCACACGAGTTGCTGTGTATGGGTGAGCCAATGGTATGAAATGAGCATATTTTGAGAACTGATCCACTACTAAAAACAAGACTGACTTCCCCCAAGACTTGGCCAAGCCAACAATAAAATCCATGGAGATGTCTGACCAGATCTGAATTGGAAGCTGGAGAGGTTGTAACAATCCTGCGGGACTTAAATGTTCAGATTTATTGCGTTGACACACCGGGCAGGCAGCGACATATGCAACAATGTTCTTTTTTATACCTTTCCAGTAGAAATCTTCACGAATTCGGTGCAACGTTTTTTGTATTCCTTCATGGGCACTATCATGATAAGCAGAAAGTATAGTAGGTAGCAAAGGAGAATTCGGTAAAAGGTAGATGCGACCTTTAAACAAAAGCAACCCATCCTGAATTTGCCAGTCCGAATCCAAATCTCCTAGCTTGACTTTATCATACAACCCTAACAATTCTGATGATCCTGTAAGCTCCTCCCGGATGGTGTCCAGTAATGTGCTACGAGGGGAACTAATAGCATTCAAAGAAGGGTCCTCATGTGTCATTCTAGATAAAGCATCCGCAGCTTTATTGAGACAACCAGCCCGATACTCCACTGTAAAATCGTAACCCATGAGTTTACTCAACCAAAGTTGTTGAGGTGGTGTAGTTAGCCGTTGTTCTAGCAAGTATTTTAGGCTGTAATGATCTGTTCGGATAAGAAAAGGGCGTCCCCACAAGTATGGCCGCCAATGTTGTACTGCCTTTGCAAGGCCAATCAACTCCCTTTCATATGCAGCTAATTTTTGGTGATGAGCTGCTAACTGTCGGCTAAAAAAGGCTACGGGCTGACCTTCCTATTGCAAAACAGCCCCGATACCACCTCCTGAAGCATCACATTCTATAATGAAATTCATAGTAAAATCGGGCAACCTGAGTACGGGAGCAGAGGATAAGGCTTGCTGAAGCTTCTGGAATGCATCTAGGGTCAAATCGCTCCACTGGAAGGAGTTTTTCTTGAGTAGACTAGTTAGAGGTGCTGCCAGTTGCCCATAGTCACGAATAAATTTGCGGTAGTAACCTGTCAATCCCAAGAACCCACGAAGAGGTGTAATTGATTGCGATTGAGGCCAATCTAAAATTGCTTGTACTTTGTTCTTATCTACCTCCACACCTGTAACTGAAATAATATGCCCCAAATATGCGACTTGAGTTGTACCAAAGCAACATTTGGATTGTTTCAAGTATAATCGGTGTGCGCGCAATAACAAAAATACCTTTCGCACGTGAACCAAATGGTCCTCCCAACAACTGCTATAAATTAGGATATCATCAAAGAAAACCAACACAAAGTGGCGTAAGAACTCATGAAAGACCTCAATCATCAAAGCTTGGAAAGTAGATGGGGCATTAGTGAGTCCAAACGGCATGACAAGGAACTCAAAGTGCCCGTGATGAGTTGAAAAGGTTGTCTTTTCCACATCTACAGGAGACATGCAGACTTGATGGTATCCAGATCGCAAATCTAGTTTAGTAAAGTACTTGGCCCCATGTAACTTATCTAGTAACTCGTCCACTACTGGAATTGGGAACTTGTCCTTGACTGTTTTGGCATTCAGTTCACGATAATCAATACAAAGGCGCCAAGACCCATCTTTCTTAGATACTAATAACACAGGTGAAGAAAAAGGGGACTTGCTTGGTCGTATCAATCCTTGTTGCAACATCAGATTACATTGCTTCTCAATCTCATCCTTTTGTTGATGAGGGTATCGATAAGGACGAACAACTACAGGAGTTGTTCCGGGCAGCAAACTAATGCGGTGGTCACATTGTCTCAATGGTGGTAAACTCTTAGGTGCCTGGAACA